GAGCTGTGGCTCAGGGAGCCCATGGGTGCCGGCAGCGCGGCTGGCCCTTCGCCCCTGGGTGCTCCAGGACATCCCGTGCCCAGCAGTCCAGCATCCTGCAGGCCCTGGCACTGATCTGCCCCCACTGGCCCACGGGGAGGCTGGGCCAGGGCCACCTTGCTCACGGCTTTGCCACTGAGGCTGCAGTGCCCTGGGGAGGGAAGGGCTGTGGCACAGGTTTGGTAACAGGGAGACAGACCTGTAGCGTGTTCCACCTCTGCCTGCGCTCCTGGGAAGCCAGGAGATCCGGGCCTGCGGTGCTGGGCCAGCCGCACACTAAGCCCCCATGGAGGGCCAAGTGCGTCTCCACCTCGCCACGGGGCACAGACCGACATTTGTGCCTGTGCTCATCCCTGCCCACGCGTGCAGCCACACGTGCAGGAGCCCGTCCACGTGTGTCCGTCTTCACCCATGTCCACGTGGGCTCCCTTGCACGCACAGGTTCCCACGGGAGGCCCCGTGCTCGCACACACAAGCACATACAGCTCCGCGTGCCCCGCACTGCCGTGTGCGCGCACGCACTTGCCCGAGCGTGTGTGCACATCCCCTTGCATGTGCAGAGCCAGGGGTGCGAGCGAGCGCAGGCGTGTGCACGCCCGGCCCCCTCTGCCTGTGCCAGCTTGCACGGGCCACGTGCTCTAGCGCACGCTTGGGCACCCACCCATGGGTGCCCGGGTCCAGCCGCATGCATGTGCGCACTCACCGTCACCCGTGCGCTCAGACCCACGCGTGTGCATGCGTGTGCACCCCCTGCACGGGCTCACCTGCCGCGCGTGCTCACACGCGTGTGCTGGTGCCATCCAGTGGCCAGCAGCTACCTTGCAGTGTGGCCCTGCCATGCGTGTGCCACTGGCCCGACGCAGGGTCACATGCCATGGGCAGGGGATACCCAGCCACAGCACCCCACGGACACCGACAGGCCCTGGCAGTGGGAGACAGCAGCCATGCCCTATGGTGTCACCCTTGCCAGTGCTACCCCGAATCTGGCCCCGGCATTTGTACCTGGTGCAGTCAGGCACCTCCAACACACCCTCTGCCCGACCAGGGGGTCTGTGGGACCCAGTGATGCCACAGCAGTGAGTGCCAGGGGCCAAGCTATGCGCAGAAGCTCCCCCAGATGCTGCCTGTGTCCCCTCTGTGCATGGCACGAGCACAGGCTCTTTCCTCTTACCCACACGGGCACAATGGGGCACACAGGACCCCACGTCACCCTCCCAGGGTACCCTCAGGCCGCAGCTCCCACGCTGCCCAGGCACTGGTTGGCTCTGCAGGGCAGCACTGGCGGGAGGCAGAGCCCCAGCGGGATTTGAGCCAAGCGGGTCTCTGCCAGGACTCCCTTCCCCAGACCCGTCCCCAAGGCCGGTCGCAACGCATGGAGACGCGGTGAGAAACCACACGACACTGCTGGGCGGGCTGTGCAGCACCCGCTGCGCCTTTAGTGTGACAGAGACCGGCACCGAGGGGCGGCGAGGGGCGCTCTCTAGGGCGCTACCTCCTTCCAGCGCGTGCCCAGGGTTGGCAGCACGGCGTCCGCCCCGGGCAGCACATTGCACCCCAACCGCCCTGCCCCCTTGGCCGGGGCTGCAGCAACACATGGGCACTCTTTGGTCCTAGCAATGGTCCCATGTAGGCACGGGTGGCCGCTGAGATGAGGGACATGGCGGGGAGCAGCTCCTGCGCAGCAGGCAGCGGGGAGCCGCGGGCAGAGCAGGGCTGGGGGCTCAGCACCCACTGCCCTCAGTGACCAGGGCGGGTGGCACCCGCCGTGCGTGGCCAACGCGGGAAGCCTGGGCAGACCCAGTTGGCCTGGACAAGGCAGCCCAAGGAACGACCCCTCAAGGTGACGGAGCCCCCGTGCTCACTGCCACCAGCTGCTGCCGGGGAGCTGGTGGCTGGGGCTGCCCTGGCTGGATACTGCAGCCTGGTGGTGCCAGGAGCCTCCATGGGTGCCACTTCTGCGGGGCAGAAGTTAGGACCCAGGCTGAGGTTTAAGTGCTATTTTTGGATGCCAGGGCAGGCAGGGACACAGGGAGAGTTGGGCTGGGGGGGCATGAGCCCTCTTTGGTGTCTGCAGGGGAGTTTGCTCTGGGCACACAGTCCCACGCCGCGGCGCTGCGTGGTGCCCCTGCGCATCCCTCCCCGCAGGGGATGGCCCCGGGCACGCAGTGCCCCGCGTGCAGCCCCGCACAGGGTGCCGTGCCCGCCGCAGGGCCGGAGGGGAGTGGGTTAAGTGCCCCCGCGCCAGGGCCATTGTCTCAGACACAATGGGGAGGAAGAGGACGCTGGGGGCCGAGGGGCTGGGGCAGGTCCCCAGCACATTCCTCTGGCTCCGGCAGATGGACAGAGCTGGAGCTGGACGGACTGACCGGACGGAGAAAGAGGGGAAGGTTTAACCCTTGCAGGAGCTGCTTGGTGACACCCTGAGGCATCTCTGGGGTTTAAGGCACATGGTGCAGCGCCAGCCCTGAGGTGGGCACTGGCATCCAGGAAAAGGAGGGGGATGCAGCCGGGGCACATAGAGGCAAACCCAGTGTGGAGGGTCCATCCCTGCGGCATGTGGGCCCTGGGGCAACAGCTGCTCCTTGCACAGGGCTGCAGGGTAGCACCAAGTCCCCTCCCCTGCTGGTGCCCACAGCCAGGATTAAGTCCTGGTGCCCCTTCCCCTGCTTGCTGAAGTAGAAAAATAAATAATTTGCAGGGGATGGACAGACAGGGAGAGCCAGCGTGGGGCTAGGTCTGCTTTGGTAGTGTGTCTCTTCATGTGGGCAGCAGGGAGCTGCAAGCGTCCCTCCGCCACGTGGGTCCCAGGAACCCTCTGGCTCTGCCACCACTCTCCTCTTGGGGACAGAGAGGCTCCCGTCACCGCCTCAAGGCGCTGGCGAGCTTGGAGCACGCTCGCGAGCAGAGACGAGTTTGCACTGCCCCGGCAAGGGGAGGCCAGACAGCCTGGGCATGGGGGCTAACAGCCTACAGGGGCCTGGCCTAGACTCTCCTGGAGGCAGCGGAGCTGCTCCTGGCCCAGCTTGATCTTCTCCTCCAGCTCCCTCTGCTCGGTGATGAGGGCTGACTTCATCTTGACAAAGTGCTGGTAGTCCTGGAGGTGCTCATCGCGCAGGTAGCGCGCCACCATGGCGCCCACCACCTTCTCCCGCCGCCCCACGTGCTCCTTCAGCTCCTTGGCGTCCTCCAGCTGCGCTGCCAGCTGCCGCTTCTTCTCCCGCAGGGCCACCTGGGCGATGGGCAACGTTGAGGACCTGGCACCGGCCCCAGCACCGCGGGCCGCCCCGGTGCCCGCCCGGCCGTCCCCTGGCCTGTGCATCCTCACCTTGTCCTCGGCAGAGGTGTGCGGCCCCAGGCTGTTGAGCGCGTTCTCCACGCGGGCCAGGCGCCCCGAGAGGGAGAGCAGCAGGTTCACCACCTTGTCCAGGTCGCCCACGAAGAGGCGGTACTTGTCGAACTCGCTGGGCGTGCAGAGGGCCTGCAGACGGGCTGCCACATCCTCCCCCAGCGCCCCGTTGGCGCTGATGTCCTCCTGCAGCCCCCGCTGCGCCTCCTGCAGCACCGACAGCTTCCGGCTCAGGCTCTCGATCAGCTGCATCTGCACCAGCAAAAGGAGTCAAGGAGCCCTGGGCGCCTGGGCTCCATCCCCACAGTGGGAAGGGGCAGGGAGCAAGGAGACCGGGATGCCCCAGAGCTCTAAGTTGGCATGGGGCCGAACCACCCCTCCTGCTCAGCAGGCACAGAGGAGCGAGGGCAGCCAGCGCTCCACTCCCCAGGTCTCACCCTGCGTCCCGAGCAAGCGCCCGCTTTACCTTCTTCTCCACGAGCTCGTGATCCACCTCGTCATCCTCCGAGCTCCCCTCCGCCACCTCCGGCAGCTCCTTCATTTTGTTGAGCAGCTCGGCTTTGCCCGCCGACGTGTTGTAGTAGGCTGAGTAGGAGGTGGGGCTGGCAGGGGGCGGCGAGATGGGCTCGAAGCCCTCCCTGCGAGGAGAGCAGCTCGCTGGGGCGCTGGGGCGGGCCCAGGGCTCTGCCCGCTACAGCCACTGCCGCTCTGCCTGCTCACGGGCCCCGGTGCCCCGCCAGCCCTACCTGTCCTGTGCCGTGGCCTCCAGGCGCCAGTCCTGCTGGAAACGCTCCTTCCCGGCCTGC